TGGCTCAGCACAGGCAGGCAGTTAAAGCTCACCCTGCTGCTCACTCTCTTTGTCCTCCCCAGAAGGATGGAGTGAAAATCAGAAAGGTAAAAGTGCAAAAATTTGTGGGTAAGGATGAAGATAGTCTAATCTTTTTATAAGGAAGGGAAAGAAATTACCAGAAAGGGAGTAAGGGAAGCAAATTCAGGGGGGAAAAGTGATACAGAAGAAAACAGTTGTTCAGCACCAAGCCTGTCCCAGAGGAGAGGCAGCCCTGCCAGTCCCCACCAGCATCCAGCTTTATTGCTGAGCATGATGCCATATGTGTGCAATAACCCTCTGGTCTGCTGGGGTCATCTGTCCCATTTGTGCCCCCCCTAACTCTGTCCATGCCCAGCCTCCTCAGTGAGACACTTGGAGGCTCTGTGCAAGCTCTGCACAGCAGTAACTAAAACATCCCTGAATTATAAACACTCTTTTCAGCACGAATCCAAAATACAGCCCCATACCAGCTCCTGTGAAGAAAACCAGCTCTGTCCTGACCAAAAGCTGTGCACACAGAATGACTGTGAAGGAATTATAATATTTTAAATGTACAAAATTATTAAACAATAATAACCAAAAGGTAAGTAATTAATAACTTTTGAGTTTTCATAGTAAGATAATTACATACCCTGGAGAGCAGCAGGAGACAACAGGAGTTAAGTACTAAATTACCTGGGCTACCCTGGCTTTCTTGCATAGCAAGTTGAAGAGAATCCTGCCAGAAATTATTCCAGTACCACAGTAAATCCTGTCCTAAAGTCTTCCTGATAAAATCATTCTTTTAAAATAGCTGGGCATCTGAGTGTTAAAAGCTGGATGTTGTAAATACCCCACAGTGATACCTTTAGTGCTACTTAAAACCTTGTAAAAATGAATGCTTATATTTCTAAAACTGACAAAGCTAACTGTTGTTGGATAACAGTGAATTCCCCTTATGAATGCAGCAGTAGACAAGGATCCAAATCTATGCTGTAAAATTCGAAGCTAGAAAAAAGAAAGACATGCATCTGAAAGAGAAGTTCAGTGCAAATACAAGGGATGTGGGAAAAATGAGAGCTGGCCATCAAACTTCTTAGGAAGTTGGAGATGAGATGATTGAGGAGGATTTTCATTAGAATATGTAAAAGAACTATATTTCATCTACATTTGTTTAGTCCTAGACCATGTAAAAATTACCAAAATCAAAGTTTCATACTCAGAAAATCTTCATAGCAAAGATATCACCTACTTCAGGAGGACATAATACTTTTTTTTTTCCCCCTAGATATTCTGTGGAAGAAGAGGATTAGGGAGGGCTTTGCTTTGAAAGGGGCAGTTGTCACTTCCATTCTGTTATACATGACAGAAAATGCAGAGTAAAGGAAAATGCAGTACTTCTGTAACCACAGTTTTTCTGATGTCATCACATAATTTTTATGTCTTTCATGGGAGTTCCATCCCCAGTGCACAGCCCTTAAAATCCTGTGAATGATATGAGCTTTTAATGATGCCTTGAAAGGAAATGTGAGAAGTCACTAGACTGCTCATGCTGCAGGCTCATATATAAATCAGGCAGAAGCACTGAAAATAAATCTTATCACTTTAACAGATTTGTAAACACCTCCAGTTTCTGCAGTATTTTCTGTAAGCTGAAGCATGAACATGGAAGCCACAATATCTGCTTCCTCTCTTGGTAACAGATTTACTGTCTTCTCTTTGGTAAATGATATAAATTCAGGCCTTCTGAATGAGTCTCAGCTAGAAGGATGTATGCTATTACTTTCTAGCTCACAAAAGCTTCCTAAGATGCAATAAATTCATACTTGAAAAGCAATTTTAAATCTTCAGATAGAAAGTACAACCTTCATATTATATGTGTCATAGCACTTTGATATATTAAGATAGTCTGATGGACTGTTATGTTTTTCATATTTATTTATTAAAAGATGCTGCACCATAATTATTACTTCAATCACTAAAGAGAAAATGAATAGGCATGCTAAAAGGAAAAGCAGAACTAATGTATGTTAAATGTCTGTTCATTAAATTTAATGAATCTCCCTGTACAAAGAGCAGACTGAAAAGTACCGCTAAAACATGTGTGACTGAAATCACTTATTTATGGGACTCCAAGCTGCATCCTCTAAAGGCATTTCCAAAGCATCTTGAGCTCCTAAGACTAAAGTTTTATATACTTATGAACATAACCAAGTGCACTTGTCCCAGCCATGACTAATCTGTGGTGCAGGTAAAACTCCTTCCCCCACCCTTCAACCCAGCCTGCTGGGGTGGCATCACAGGAGCACCACTTTGAAAACAACCTATTTTCTGCCTTGCCAAGGGACTTTTTAATTGCTAACCCTGAGAACTGAGCCCTAACCGTGCTGGTAGCCTTGGATGTGCCACCTAAGTGAGCCAGGAGGGTGGGAGCTGTAACAGTTCCCCACACAGTCTGCTCCTGGGCACCCCAGGCCAGGTCATTGGGGATCTTTTCTCTCCACTAAAATAAGATGTATTAACTGCATTGCTGGAAAAGCTGTGTTCACCAAGAAAGGTGATAAACAAATGTCTCATCCTCAAATATATCAATATATCACAAAATAAGCCAAAAGCCTCTCATGTGAGCTTTTTGCTTGCACACATGCAGAGCATTACTTTATTTTCTTCTGAACAATTAAATGATAATCAGTGTATGACATAGCATAAGACAGATTTCAGCCATGTTTCCTGTTAGCTGTCGTAAATTTCTTGGCTTGCTGTTGAAAAGATCTGTGAGTTTGAGGCTGTGAGTGCAAAGAAATGTGGTGTTGAGCCATTCCTCTAAGTCAGTTAATTATTAATCATGCCAGAAAGATCTGGTGGCTGCACTGACCGGGCTGCATCCCTCTCTAAGTGCATACTGACATTTAATGTCACAGAAATTTGGGAAAGGGGAGGAAATACTCTCTCTATTTTTTGAAAATGTCAACTGAGTAAATATCAGATATGGAAATCCCTGCTTATATATCAAAGTTGGATTTTCAAGTCCTTCATTGTATCTCCTTCTGTGCTTCAGCAGCCATTTAATTCCAGATGCTGCTAGGCATTTGGCTTTCAGAATCAGAAATCTAACCATGAAGATAAAAACTGATTCCATCTTATACATGTAACCAGCCACAAAAAATACAGAACCAGATGCCATCTTAGTAAACCCATAAAAGCTTCTGTTTTCCACATTAATGGTTGAGAGAGTCCATTCTTCATGCTCTCCCCTAATGCTGTGTTCTATGTGTTGTACAAAATTCAGTGGATGCAAAATGTTTGGCACTCATGAGCCTCCTTCTACTCTGGATGAAAGTCACCTTCACAAGCAAAGAGGCTACCTGAGAAATCACAAATTTCTCTCACTAATTGATAATCACAGTCTCTGAAAAATCAGGTTATGAACAGTCTATGACCCAATATGATAAGAATTAAGTCTGGTTATACTGACAGACATGAAGAGGTAGGCCAGTGAGGAGTGGTCTTTCAGGGCTTTGTCTTGGGACCAATGCCCTTAATATGTTCATCAAAGACACCAGCAGTGAGATCAGGTGACCCTCAGCAAGTTTTCAGATGACACAAAGGTGAGCAATGCAGTTGACACAACAGAAGGAAGAGCTGCCATCCAGACAAACTGGGACCTGGACAAACTTCAGAAGTAGGTCCATGAGAACTTCATGAAAATCAAAAATTTCAAGTGCAAGGTTCTTGCACCTGGATCAGGGCAATTCCACATATGAGTATAGACTGGCAGAGGAGGGAATTAAGAGAAGCCCTATGGAGAAGAACCTGGGAGTCCTCGTGGATGAGAAGCTGAACATGAGCTGGCACTGTGCACTCACAGCCCAGAAAGCCAACCATATCCTGGCCTGCATCCAAAGCAGCATGGCCAGGAGGGCAAGGGAGGGGATTCTCCCACTCTGCCCTGGTGAGACCCCACCTGGAGTGCTGCATCCAGCTCTGGAGTCCTCAGCACAAGAAAGACATGGACCTGTTGGAGCAGGCTCCACAGGAGGGCCACAGAGACAATCCAGGGTCTGGAGCATCTCTCCTATGAAGACAGGCTGAGAGAGCTGGTGTTGTTCAGCCTGGAGAAGAGATGTCTCTGGGGAGACTTTAGAGCAGCCCTCCAGTACCTAAAAGGGACTTATAAAAAGGAGGGAGAGAGGCTTCTTATAAAGGGACATAGTGACACGACAAGGTGCAATGGTTTTAAATTGAGAGAGGGCAGGTTTATATTAGATGTTGTAAAGAGATTCTTTATTAAGGGGGCGCTGAGGCACAGGAACAGGTTGCCAGTAAAGTTGTGGATGCCCCACCTCTGGAAATGTTCAAGGTCAGGCTGGATGGGGACCCTGAGCAACCAGATGGAGTGCATGGCATCTCTGCCCCTGGTGGGGGTTTTGAACTAGATGACCTTCAAGGCGCCTTCCAACCCAAACCATTCTATGATTCTAAAATGGCCTGGCAAATATTCAGGAACTTAGATGTGAGACAGCATAAAAACACTATCACATTTTGGTTCTCCAAAAACTCAGAAGATTCAGAGAAACCCACTCATAGATGTTGCAATATTATATTTTTTTCTGAACTGTTTATTTCCCTTTAAAGAGATTTTCACTGCAATAGCAACTGAAATGGATGCCCATGTTTCTCCCCACAAGACATAAGGAGTGGCAGTTGCAGCAATGCAAAAAAAAAAAAAGGCAGCACTTCCATACTGATCTGTCTCATCTCTTCTCCAAAGTCATTGTTCTTAGTAGCTGATACATGCAAACAAATAAAAACTTCTATCATATGCATTTTAAATGGGAAGACACTTGTGATTTGCTCCACCTGGAGGATGGATGCAATGCAGCCTGTCAGTCACTGTGAGATTGGTATTCATAAGCAGCTGATTCCAATTAGCAGTTTTAGATAAATAGGATAATGGCCATGAGTACAAATGACACTCTTTGTTTTGTCTATTTACACAGAAAGCCAGGCTTGCTCGAATCCGTGCAGCGAAGAGTGGGAGCGCTAATGCCTACATGCAGAGCAAACGAAATGGCTTGCTGAGTAACCAGCTGCAGCAGGTGATGTTTGTGTTCCCTCCACCTCTGGAGTAACCACTTAATGACAGCCCAGCAGTAGTTTATTCTACTTATCACCAGGGCAAGTCACCTTGGGACTTTCGGCAATGTTATCTTTAGAGGTAGATTAAGGAAGGATAAACTGGACGATTACTACTGATAAAGGAAGCTTGTGAGAATCGATGGTGGGGTATTAAGAGATGAGGGAAATGTGCAGATAGAAATGCTGGATTCAATGTAACTCACATTTTTGGAGTTAGATCCTGTAGAAGAACTCACTAAGGAAAGTACAGAGTATTTGCCTCTTAGGAGATAGGTTGGATTTATCTCACTTGGCTTTAAACAGGTAGAACGTGGGTGACAAAACCAGGTTTCATCATCAGTTAAGGAAAAAGCTACTCTTGAATATTGTTTGCACAGAGGAGTGTTGCAGAGTGAAGTGTTCCCTTGAAGCACCTGCCCGGGTTTAAAGAGCGTCTTAGTGATTCCCTCAAATGCATTGTAATCTAATGTCATCTGAAACAAATTCCCTGTTCACCCCTGCCAAGGAACCAGGACCAGCAGCTGGGGCTGGGATCCACGGTGATCCACACTGCTGGGAGACAGTCCCTCGGCTGCTCAAAGCTGTACCCAGCTGAGAAAGACTGCAGACAGAGTGGTTTTTAATCCCTGCCATTTTCTGGCATTTAGGCTGTTCCCTGAGGGATACAGAAAGGCTTTTATTCCTCTATGTTCTTTCCATTCAATACGTGTTAAACAGCCGGATACTTTAACCTATAGCCAGAGGAGGAGGAAGTGGCTGTCTGTCCTGTCTAGCACAAAAGATGAGCAGTCAGAGCCCTTGTTTCCTCTTCTGCTTGAAAGAACTCAAATATTTGAATTAAAAAGACACCAAATAGCTTAATTATCATGCAGATTTCAAATATCTCAAGGTTGAATTGTATTCTTTTCTATTATCCCGCTTCCTCCCCTATTCAGGATTTTGCTTTCTAGTGAATAATTATGAAAGCAATTAATAAACAGTGGATGCTTTCTACTTAATTCTTCATTCTATGTCAGTAACATTTGCTATACGCTTTCTAAACCCAGTAGATTGGGATCACTGACACAAATTTTTGTGTCAACAGCAGTACCACAAATTCCTTAATACTATGAAAGAATCCTGGGAGGACAACAATTTTTAGTTATCTTCAAATGAGGCACATTCTCAGGAAAAACAAATATTACTGTAACTTAAATTGATTAAAATTTTAAGCATGTGTTGATCTAACATTCAAAGCTTATGTGTTGATTACACTTGTAAATTGTACTATTTTATCCATGCATAAAATACCTAAGATGAAAACATTTGAAAGGAGGGGCAAAGGAAGGAAAGAAAATAGTTTGATTAAAAAAAAAGCAAAATAAAATTAAGTTGCAAAATTATTTTTGTTGTACTTTGTAGACGAAGTAGTACAGTTATGCTACCGTGTACAATCCAGATTAGTACTGATAAATATTTGAATAAGAAGCCTCTTGTTCAAAACTCAGAATAATACAGAGTTCTATGTATCAACAGTCCTCCAATGAAGAAGAACAGGCCTTTGTTGGCAAATCTGGCTCTTCCTTTGAAACACAGCACCACCACCTGCTTCACTGCCTGGAAAAAACCACGGTAAGAAAAGAGAACTGTGTTTTCTTGTGAATTGCTACATCAGCCTGGTTTTGAATGTTTTCAGTTATCTCTTCTAATTAATGAACCTTTGTATTAAAGCAGTTAGCTGGGAAGAAAAGCCATTTTATCTTATTTTAAGGCATTATACCCAATGCATATAAATAACAGAGATATAACTTCTGCTACATTTGATGGAGATCACTGTGAAAGTCTTTCTGCTTTTCCTCAAAAAAGAACCCAAAAAAACAAACACACACCCCCCCAACAAAAAAAAAAAAATTAAATTTTTTTCCCACAACAAACATTGCCAAATTTTTCATGAATTATAACCTGATATATGTATGTGGAGGATTTAATGTTCTCCTTTTAACAGCATTTCTTTGAAATAAAAGGGCCCAGTTGTTACGTCACTTAGCAATACGTCACCCATATGCTTCTTGTGCTTATGTCTCCTTCGTTCTTACTTTAGAAGTATTAATATTAGAAAATGTGCTGTAGGACAGAATGTCTCACTTCCTATTCAGAGCATACTGTGGTTTCTTTTGTTAACATTCTTGCTGGGTCCTTTTGAAACATTTTTGAGACCTTTTGAACCAGAACCTGATAATAGCAATTTGCCTTTAAAATTTTCCCACAGTTGCATATTGAAAACATATTTAAAGATATGAGTAATAAACACAGGTCTTGTTAAACTGTCACAGAAATCATGGAGAAGAATTTCTATTCATTTGATGGGAGCTGAATTCAGTTCCTTCCTCCCGAAGTTTCACCTTTCCTCTAATCATAATGGTGGAATCTGTAAAACTTTTTTTAAATTTTTCTTAAAAATTAAGTCTATAAAGCAAATATTATTTTGTTTCTTGAATCTACATTCTTTTTTCCTTCTGTTGGGTCCTGCTACTGGTCCTGAGTTCCTATGATATATTAACACAAAAATATACATAGCAGTTCCAAGTTTTATTCTGGAGATGATGCATTCCTAAAATTTTAGTGGGAGCTTGACATTTTGGGCCCTCAGCATTTGGAATCTGGCAAGTTTCTGGTTCATTTTAAAACAGGAAGGGTGGTGTGTCTTGTTAAGACTCTCACCATCCTTTGTGGTACAAGCATCATGATACTGAGAAAAAGCATATTTTCTCTTTTCTGTCACGGAAAAGTCAATAGGATAAGATCTTACCCACCCTCTGAAATGCAGAGTGGGCAATGTTATGAAATCCTGGGAAGATTACATTAATAGTGAAACTAATTGCATTAAAAATTATATTTTACAAATTACTTTTAGCCAATTTAAGAACAGTTATTTAATAAGTATAATTAAATCAATTAACTTGTGCCATTACAGCATTTCAAAATGTTTCCACTCTATATTAAAAGTTCAGTCAATAAAACTCTTTAATCCTTGCTCCATAAAAGTTTTAGGAAGCACAAAATTACTTTTTATCAGAAAAATTACAGAGTTCTTGGCAAACATACTGCAAGCCCCTGAATGTAATCTCATGAGAGCAATTAGGTTACTTTTCTCTCTGAATTTTATGCCTACTGTGTGATCATGTTCAAAATCTTGATTGTGGCTGACATATGCCTTATAAAAGTCAAGCAAGTTTTTTTCCTCATTTCCTGAAATTTGCATTCTTCAACACCTCTTGAGTCACACAAACTTATGTCTGAGTGAAGACTAACAGAAGAAACGGAAAGAAAAATGTTATCCCTATAAAGGTATTTCCATTCTTCGCAAACACTTAGCCAGAGTTGTTACTCTCTTTACATTATTCACATATTTTATATTGGCCCCATATAGATAGTATGAAGAAAATCAGCACCTTTCCAATTAGATCAAAATTTTTTAGGGGAAAAATAATCTACCTCATTTGAATACACAAAAATGCAACAGGCTGACAAATTTGATGTGAGACTGAGTAGAGTGTAAAACAATCCAGGAAATGCTCCTTAAACAATTCCCCTAAAACCTTCTCGGGACACACAGACTAATTCCAGAAGTAAATGGAAAGAGTTTTCTTGAAAAAGGAGGCTTTCTCAAACAGCATGCAAACATATCTAAGTCTCTGCTTAGTTTTAAATGAGTATAAAAACTTCTCCCACTCCCCTGTATCTCCTCCCCTGCCTTGCCACCACAAGCAACACCACTATTTCACATTCTTCTGCACGCATAGAAAATGTGGAAATTGTGGCTGGGTGTGAAATAGTCCCTAATCACTTGATGAATTAATGTAAACTGGCTATTTGAGTGAATTTAGATTAATCTTTGCAACCACCCTACAAAACTACTGTCTTTGCTGGGATTGAGCAAAGACTGCATGAATAAAGAGGACTTCATTTAACTAAAATTCCCAGTCCTCTAAACTGCTTTTGATACATCCATCTACAGTAATTAGGAACTTTTTGGATGCTTTTAAATAACTATCTCAACTCCTCTAACCAAAATTTCTATTTCTTTAAATATTTTTCTTTTAGATAGATGCATTCATCAAAAAATGTTTTGGATCCTGATTTCTAACATGTAATTCAAAAGTCTTATGAATATATCTGGAAAATATTTATGAATTTTATTATATCATAGTTCAATACAATAAATTTTATTTTCAACTGACATTTAGAGTGTTTACATAAGCACCACTTGCATTTTATTAATAAACATAATCCTCTATTTTGTGGCACTTCAAAGATTATAAAGATATTTAGAATGCAAACTACATTCCAACCACATGCTATTTTGAAGAATAATTTGGATTAACATTTTCTTGTTAATTTTGTTCCAGTGTTTACATTTGTATTGGTATTCAGCCCAGACTAATATGGGCTAAACACTATAATCAAGAATAAGCTAACTTTCCCAGTTTATTCAGTTGTGTCAATTTAAGCCGTTAAACAATCACAATTAATATGTTCACTTCAATTATTCTTCTGTGTGCGCTTTGTCCCTTTGTTGGATTCCTCTGGGCTAGAACCACGAGTTTGTGGATGAGCAACTCTATGAAGAGAGCTGTATGGAGGTTTCTACAGTGAACAGACCCCCGAGCCACAGCCCCTCTCTCTCGTCTCAACAAGGCGTGACCAGCACCTGCTGCTCACGAAGACATAAAAAGACGTACCGCATCCCAAACACCACCATCACCGGCAGCCGCCCCGGCAGCGTGCAGGAGCTCAGCACCATCCAGATCAGATGTGTGGAGAGGACGCCTCTGTCTAACAGGTACTCCATCTGCATCAGCACACTGAGAGCTGAGGCTTTGTTAGGGAAAGGATGCAAAGGTGTTGTGGCCTCCATAGGCAGGTGGTGAGGCTAAAGATAAGAGTCCAATACTCATCTAAAAATGGGTACTGGTACTGAAACATTCTGTGCTTCCTTTGCTTCAAGCTTAACCAAAATAATAGAATAATCTCTCTCTCGATCCATTTCTGCCCTCTCAGACCTTCCTAACAAACTACCATGCCCTATTTGCAGCAAATGGCATCCAGGGTCCCCCAAATAAAATAGAGCACCAAATATTATATGCCATGGACAAGTGCATAAGAAGAAAAGTTTCATATAGAAAAATGTCCAGCTCAGATATACAAGATGAGCAAGTGCTCTGTCTGTCCCTTCTTGGTTCAGAGGCATAGGAAATGAGACTTCCTTGCATTTCTGCAGAACAGAGAAATAAAAGTGATTCCCAGAGTCCTAAGTGTAATAGTCATAAGGAAGACTCTTCTAAATAAAAAAAATATGAAATGGATAAGAAAAATGTATTTTCTAGTTTGAGGAGTTATTACAAAAGTGAGGAAAGTGCAGTTTAAGAGTCTGCAATTTACTGAATGTCTCTGTACTCTCAAAAGTAAAGTATTTGGCTTTCACATATATCCAAATATCACCTCTGAAAATGCAGAAAAGGTCTCAGGAGATGCAGAAGTGTTTTCTACTGATCTCACACATGCCACCCTTTAATAAAGAAGTCTTTTCAGTAAAAGTTGCTATAGAGATTGTCTTGTTAAGCTACATTTTTAGTAGCTTCCTTTGTATAGTTACTACATTTGGATTTCACTTCCATAAAGTGAAACAATCCAACTTGGAACTCTTGGAACTACTGAAGTTTTTCAGATGTTATGCAATGAAACCTCCTGGCCAGCACAAAGCTCCAATCTATCTTAGTTTTTCAGGAAATACTCTGCCTGGATCCATTTTTTTTCTGCTAGAGGACTTGCCTGATACTTCCAGATGCCATGTATATAAAAAACAAAAAACACCAGCTTTGTGCTAGAAAACAAAAACACAAGCACAAAATGCCCACGCTTCACCTTGAAACAGTCTGAGTTTTTCAAGTCTTTTACAAAGGAGAGGTACTGAAGCAACTCCATGAACATATTAACACAAACTCAATTAGTGCATATAATAGAGTGCCTTACTATTGAGGAAACAGAATATACACAGAATCACAGGACCACTAGGGTTGGAAGAGACCTCCAAGATCATTGAAGCCAATTATTAACCTGGCACCACCATGTTCACCATGACATTCCTGAGTCACGTCTACATTCCTTTTGAACACTTCCAAGGGTAGTGATGAAACCACTTCCCTTGGCAGCCTGTTCCAATGTCTGACAGCCATTTCAGTGAAGAAATTATTCCTAATATCCAAATGTTCTTAAATAAGCATGGGACTGAGGAATATGCAGGAGACTTGGACTGGCCCTTCTACTTTCCTGCATAGTGAGCAATTTGGTTATGCTAACTTTGCAATGCTTCCCCTGTTCAGAAACACGGGTGATTGGCTGGGAAGTGCTGAAATGGTGGGAAGGGAGGGAGAAGGGGACATGAGCATAGCCATGGAGCACCTGCTGCTCTAAGTACAGGGCAGCGGGGTGCTGCTGCTCTGTACTTAGAGCTCTCCAGTGGGGCAGGCTGGAGATGGCTGGCTGAGGGAATGGAATCAGGCTTGAGAGGTTTGTGGTAACGTGGACTTTCATTCTTCATGGATTTTTGTTTCTTCCTCCAGCCGTTCCAGCTTAAATGCCAAAGTGGAAGAGTGCGTTAAACTAAACTGTGAGCAGCCTTACGTCACTACAGCAATAATCAGCATCCCAACACCTCCAGTCACCACACCTGAAGGAGACGACAGGCCAGACTCTCCTGAGTATTCGGGAGGAAATATTGTCAGAGTATCTGCATTATAAAACAAGGAATAATTTATGAATTAGCATAAAGACCACAAGCTGAGCTCGAGCAGTGAAAAACGAGTCATGAGGAATGAGAGAGCTGACAAAGACAACGCCCCTTGACGAGTGTGCCAGTGGCCACAGAGCAAGAGGTTCAGGAGAAACAAACTTTGTGGGTTTTGGTGTCGTAGGGTGTGAACCAAAAGGAGTTTCTTACCCCCTGTCTGACTGACGTGCGGTGGAATCTTCTGTGACCATCCTGACTTACTATATGAGCACAATGAAATGTCCCCATTGATGCTTCTTCTTATCATGAAAGTTCTTTTTAGAAAAAAACACAAATGAAAAAATAGAAACCTATGTTCCTGCTGAATGCAAAACAAGAAACATTTTGATAACATGTCTTTTTTTTTCCCTGTTAATAAACCACAAACTTGCTGAAGAACTGTCAAAAAACGAATGAAAAAATGCTCATATGAAATATGTTTGTACTGACTGAAAGAACTACAACCATAATGCATGCTGAAATTATTTGAAGCTGTGATCTCAGTTTACTTTTGTTGTTTTTCAGATTAGGCATGATAAAATAATACTGTAGAAAGGGGCATTTCCGTGCACTTACAACAAGCTGATTGTTAATGTTCCATGGTAGTTGTACAAATAACTTCCCTTTGAAAAATGCAGTATTTCTTACTCAAACACTCATTAGTGAACTAAAATTGTTCAGTTAGTTCAATATTTACTATTGTTTTATCTTGCTTCCTAGGTACTGTTACAACTGCAATAAGTCATTGTACACCTGTTGTATCAGGAATCAGGATTTTATTTTTTTTAAGGTATTTTACACAACTTCATCTACACTATAAACTTCTAATGACAAACATTTAAATAATCCTACAGCCAAACTGCACCACAGATTTCTATTCAGTCATTGCTCTTTATGTTCACTGTTCTCTATTTCTCTGACACTTTGTTGCCCACTCCAACATAACTGTATCATTTGGGATTTCAAGGATACTGATGAATCAACAGTCCATTCTTCTATAGACTACTTGTCTACTTCTGCATTTTCAGAACAAACTTCCTGTTACAGTTTACTGCTACAAGAGCAATCCTATTTGAATTAAAATTGCCACAGAGGTGTTTTGGGGATCAGCTGACACTTGTCTCCAAATGTTCCTTTCTGACATTCTGCAGCATCCAGAGTATTAGCTACACTGGAAGACATTGAAAGACATTCAGTAAAAATGATGGCTATATTCTTTTTGCAATTATCTATAAACTTGCATCTTAAAACTTGTTTGATAATTTATATTGTGTGAAAAACATTCAATTACCTAAGAACAGTGACAGAATAATGGATTGAGTCCCAAAGCTATAAAAATATAATTGATTTCAATTGGAATTTGCCTACATGGGCAGGCCTAAAAGCTAGTATGAAGGCTTTACAAGCTAAGGTTTGTTGGCTTCATTTATAAAAGACATTGATATTATCAGAAACCTCTCTGATAAAAAAGTGTAATTTTTTTCATGAGAGTGCATTAGATGTATCATAATGTTTCTTATATTCATGACATACCATACATCACATACATCAAATATACACAGAATATGTGCATATCAATACATACATATATACATCAAAAACACTGGATCAGAAATAACTGCATGTCTGCAAAATACAATATGCATATAAATCAAAACGCTCAGTGCATTAGATGCCATTACAATAAATGATTAACACAGTTATTTAATAGTTTGAGTAGTGTATGTTTCAGTATAGTATTTGCTAGCATTCTACTGACCTGAAAATTCACATTAAAATACCCACTGAAAACTGAAACTTGCTGATGATACACTTCTTGCATACAAATGCTAGTCTTTCTCTCTACCTGTCAACAGTGAAGAGTAGATGATAGACTATCATGCTACAGTATATACACCAAAATACAGCATCACATATTAGAATTAAATTGCAAATAAAAAGAGTAGATAATGCCATTCATTACTCTTTTATCTTATCATTTACTTATTCTGAAGTTAATGCATTTTTTGTTAACTTACAATTAACTTCCCAATTTTTTATTTTTTCAAATCAGAAGGATTTGCTCACTGTAAACTGAGCTTCTCCATTTCTTTCAAACATCAGAGAGCAGAAGCACAGGTCATGCTCTGAGCCAGAGGAAGAGCGCTCCTTCTGAGCAACCCTGCCCAAGTCCATTACCCAGCACTGCTATCTCTTCCACCCTACAGCAGATCTGCTGAAGCTGGTAGGTTACATAAACTTTAATGGATTTAATGGAGAGGCAGAACACATCAGAGTTTTTACTTGCATCCTACTTCTACGCATGGTTACTCATACTTGGTCCCCGCCTTTTGCCAGTTGATATAAAAACTGCCTTGATGTCAGCAAACTGCAACAACTTCTTTATGTCACATGGTACTTCATGACTAGTTATATCAGCTAAATAATGCAAAGGGGCAGTTACTAAACCTACTTTGGTACAGACTACACACAACCCAGGAAACCTACTGACTCCATCAGGTCATGTGTCTTTCAAAAGCTCTTTATTCTCCTGTTCATAGGCACTAGAAGGAACGCACTACAGCAATACACTTGCATAACAGTTATACCCCTGAAGCAACTTGTACTTTCATTTTTAAAATGCAGCTTAAGAGATAATTTAGTCAGATTTTTCAGAATTCCAGTCCTGTCTCCTATTTCCATATGTCACGCGCAAAACCATTAATTTATTCTCAATTTGGGAAATACACATTTTTTTGGTGTTTTAGGTGATTTAAATGCTGTTTTGGTAGTGAATGACTGTTGATGACTGTGTAAAATGCATCTGTACTGTACATGAAATGTAATTATTTCTGTGTATCATACAAAGAAACCAAGGTTGTTGTTTTGACAATTTTGTTTGACAGTCATATATCGTATTTCAGAAGGCAGCATAATACACGTGTTATGCTGAATAAATAGACATTCGAGGAATATTTAAATAAAACATCTGCATGCTTGAATGGGTCAACCTGGTTTTGCAATAACTTCTTCATGAAACTTTTTTTTCCCCTCTAATAATTTGGAAGGAACACTTAATCCGAAGTCAGCAAATGTCCTAGACAGTAATTCCAGGCAAGATGTAACTAAACTAGAGCCATCCAGACCAGGATGCCACAGCTCCACTACACTGCCCTTCTGAGGGACCAGCCATCACCTTTCCCTTCCCAGCCTGCAGCAGCAGAGAAAACTGGAGCATTACTTCCAGCAGTATGAACTCCACCTCTATATCTGTACTTTAAAAAATGTCCCTTACATACATCCAAAACCCAAACTGCTCTGCTCAACTTCTCAACCTACAGTCTCCTCATACCTGGTATCGAACTCCCTTGATAAAATATTAGTGCACAGAGAAGATCAAACTCTTTTTGTAGCATAAGGGACACACCATGGATCACTAATAAAGGGCAACTAGGTGCAGACAGGCGATGCTGATCAGCACTGGCACATGGGGTTGCCATGGTTGCCTCTGTGAGGAGCTCACTGCTCTGGGTGGTGGGGAAAGGTAAAAAAAAGCTGTCCTCTCATAAAATAGCTACAGAAGACAAACTGAAAACGTGCACTTTACATTTTGAAGCCATGGATATACTCTGGGTGGAAGCACACTGAACACCAAGAGAAGGCTTTCACAGCAGAGAACAGAATGCAGCCTCAGCTGCTGCATACAGAAAGAGGAGGTCTTCAGAAAGGAAGCTGATCTGGAGAAGAACAAATTGCTGAAGCCACAGGATCATTGAATTTTGGGCGGTTGCTTAGGAGGTCATAAGCTCTCTGCTGCATCTGAGGCCCACCAGGGCTTTATTTCATGACTGATATGGGAATATTTTAGGACTATCACTTGTTCTAGAGGAGCCATCAGCTGATGGGATATATAAACAAGTGGCTAAAAGAGTAGGAGTGTCAGGAGTGAACACTATGTATTGATTGGCAATGTCCAGAAGGTATATGAAATTGTCCAGACAGCTTAGTTTCTTACCTGTCTATACCATCTAGTTGTCTACTTTTTTACAGTTTCTATGCACAAGGAACAGCTGAAGTGGGGGAGTGCTGAATAAAAAGAAAGTAGTTGTGTAAAAATTCTCAAAAGTTTAGGACACCGCATTTTTTTAAGAGGAAGTAGTCAATCATACACAAGTTGGAAAGTTTTAGATACAATCTCATTTTAACAATAGCATTTTGCATTAAATGTGCAATGCATGTGGTGGGCTGGCAATACTGGCAGGATGCCAGATGTCCACCCAAGCCAATCTATCAGTTCCCTTCTCAGCTGGGCAGGGAAGAGAAAATATAACAATATATCTTGGGCTGGAATAAAGGCAGGGAATCATCACTCACTGACTGCTGTCATAGGAAAAACAGACTTCACTAGGTGCAATTCGTTTATTACCAATCAAATCCAAACAGGGAAATAAAAAAATAAAACACCTTTCTCCCATAATTCCCTTCTTCCCAAACTCAACTTTATTCCTGAATTCTCTACCTCCTCCTCCTCAGAGGTGTAGGGAGGGAGGTAAAGGGGTCTGTCATCAGTTCATTGTGTTTTTTCTGATGCTCCTTCCTCCTCCCAGGAAGGGCTCCTCACACTCTTTACCTGCTCCAGTATGGGGTCCCTTCCATGGGATGTGGTTCTCCACAGACTTCTCCAAGGAGAGTCCTTCCCATGGACTGCAGTTCTTCATGAAGGTGCTCCACCCCCTCTGTGGGTCCCCCACAGGGTCAAACACACCTGCCAGCAGACCTGCTCCAGCATAGGCTCCTCTCCACAGGTCCTGCCAGGAGCCTGCTCCAGTGGGGGCCATGCACAGGGTCACAGCTTCCTTCAGGCACCACCTGCTCTGCTGTGGGGCTCCCCACAGGCTGCAGGAGGATCTCTGCTCCACCGTGAACCTCCACATGCTGCAGGGACACAGCCTGTTGCACCAAGGGCTGCAGGGGAATCACTGCCCTGGTGCCTGGAGCACCTCCTGCCCTTCCTTCTTCACTGACCTTGGTGTCTGCAGAGCTGTTTCTCTCACTCCTCTCTCCAGCTGCACTTGCTGTTGCCACAACCACTTTTTCTGTTTCTCAAATGGCTACCCCAGAGGTGCTGCCACTGTCACTGATGGGCTCAGCCTTGACCAGCAGTGGGTCCGTGCTGGAGCTGGTTGACTCTGGCTGTCACACAGGGGAAGCTTCTCAGCTTCTCACAGAAACCACCCCGTAGCCTCCCCACTACTATGCCATGCAAACCCTTAGTATTTCAATGTTGTAAGACTTTAATAATCTGTGTCTTTCTGCATAGTATACAGAATCACAGAATGAGTTGGAAGGGACACACAAGGATCAAGTCCAACTCTTAAGTGATTGGCCCATAGGGGGATTGAGCTTGCAACCTTTATTAACACCATGTTCTGAGACCAAATACAATGCTTTTGCAATAAAAACATTAAAAGCTATTTATAAATCCCTTCCTCCATCATATTTAACTATATAGTTGCTGTGACCAACAGCATCTCTTTTTACTATTAATTATATATTCCCTTATATTCATTTATGCTTTTACAAAATGAAAACCTATAAAGAAGAAAATATAGCTCTTTCCTTCCAAGAATCTTGTCATACAACCTGCTGGCAGATGAATCAATACCTTATCCAAGGACCAGAAATAATGATTTTTGCCTCCTAAAAGCATGCTCAGCCCCACAGCAACAGGCATGGTCCCATGGACTCGGTACAGTCACTGGGCTGAACACAAAACTTGGTGCTGGCAGGAAGTGACTCCATTTTCTGACACAGTTGCACTCCTTGACTGCTCTGTGAAAAATGTTAAGGAGCATCTCTGTAGTTGTTTGCTGCAACAAGAAAGATTTAGTTCATTACACTTCATGATGCAGAGAACAAAAACCACACCATCCTTCTCCAAGTACTCCTGTAAAACTGAGGAAAAAAAGAAAATAAGAGGAAGTAGTTTTCACCACTTCAAGTATCTCTAAATGTTCCTCTCCTGCCAAGCAGCCTCTCTCCTACATAGATTCTAAAGGTCTACAGGAAAAGAGCAGGCTCACTGCAGCCTAATCAATTAATTTTAAGGCTCTTTTAAGAAGCCCTAGAAAAACAGGTACACCCCATAGCCTGAGCAGTCGAAGAAAAAAAATCTTAAAGTGTTCCAATTTACAGATGAGACCTATTTCTGCAAATGTGGTTAAATACTCAAAATAGAAAGATTCTTTCCCAGAATACAGACTGGCTCAGGATTTGGGTAGCAAAGCCCAAGTGAAGTTTTCCTGACTGCAAATGTTCATTGTCATGGAGGTCCATAAACACTGCTCTGGGAGGTTGGGTCTGTGTCAAAGGAGGCCTCCCCAAAGCAATCCCTCTGCTTTTAAAGAAACCTGACTACACCTGAGGGCAGTGCTTCCTCAGCACCCACACAGCTTAAAACCAAATTACCTAGGCTCGAAGTATCTCTAAATCCCAACACATACCCCTAGCTTGGCTTGCCATATTTGTTCCTTGATGAGCTCTAACCTGGACACAAGAAGATACACAGGCAACCCCCATGATAGTTTGAACAGTGCTTGTAAGGAAAGACTAGGAATATTTGAAGTATGGCTAAGGGAGCTGCTACAGACACTTCTTGGGCAAAACTTTAAGGGCTGAGGTTTCCTGGAAAAAGGGAATTTTATATTCCCTTTTACATTACTTAAGTAAAATTCCCTACATTCAGCAGTAGCTGCCAAATGAATGTACGCAGCTGTGTACACGTAATCCATAATCAAGATTCCACA